TGTACACTTGCATAGAAATAAACAGGCTAAGGCTTCCTCAGGGGTAGAATACTTGCATAGCATGCATGAGGTCCTAGGTTGGTTCCCCACACCATAAAAACAAACAGAAAACAAAAACTGGAGTAAAAATAAACAGATCAATATAACCTAATTTAGAATCCAAAAATATATTCATTGAAGAAAAAGTAATTTGGAAGTGGCACTGTAGCTCAAGTGGTAGAGCGCTCGCCTTGAGCTGAAGAGCTGAGGGACAGCGTCCAGGCCAGAGTTCAAGCCCCACAACCGACAAAAAAAGAAAAAGAAAAAGTAATTTTCCACAAATACCCATAGAAAATTTGGATATCCACTTACCAAAACTGAAAATAAAAGAATTTCCTTCTATATTTCATGCATTATGAAATTAACACAAAACAAAAAATACGTGAATTCCAAAATATAAGACTTAAGCAAAAGCACATAAGAGAGCTGGTGGCTCATACCTATAATCCTAGATACTTGAGGATTCACTACATTTGGGGGTTAAAGTTTGAAGCCAGCACAAGTAAACAAATCCAGGAGATTCTTATCATTGTGTAGGCAGCAAAAAGCTAGACCTAGGAGACTTTTCTCTCTGTTCAGGCAGAAAAAAGCTAGAAGGGAGCTGGGCCTCAAAGTTTTAGTGTCAGCCTTGTACAAAAAAGCAAAGCAAGAACAAGAGGCTCTGAGCTCAAGACCTAGTACCAGTTTACACACACACACACACACACACACACGTGCACGTGTATTTAGTACAAAACATAATCCATGAATGCAAAAATATGGATTTTGTAAAAAAAATTAATGATAGTTAATCTTTACAAAACTAAGATTTCTGCTTTCCTAAAGATACTGTTAAGCTAGGCTTCGGTGACTCACACCTGAAACCCTAGATACTCCAGGCTGAGATCTGGAAGATCAGCTTCTAAGCCAGTGCAGGCCGAAAAGTCCATGGGACTCCATCTCCAATTAACTAGCAAAACCCTGGATTAAAGGTGTGGCTCAAGTCCTAGAGCACCAGCTTAGCAAGTACAAGGTTGTAAATTTAAACTCTAGTAGTTTCACACACACACACACACAAAGACAGTGTGTTGGAGCAAATGTGAAGAAATTAGAACTATGACAGGGATGTGAAATTGACCAGCCCAGACAAAACATTACTGAGACCGTATCTCAACAAGGAAACTTGAAACTGGGTATGGTGGTACATATTTGTAATTCTAGGGACTCTGGAGGCAACGGTAGGAGGATCATGTTCCAAAGCTGGCCTCAGATTCAAAACACAGGAACCTATCCAAAAAATAACTGAAGCAGGAAAGGGCTAGGACCATGGCTCAGGATCCAGCATTGCCAAACAAAAAGTTTAGAACATCTGAAGTCATCTATAGAGGTAGTAGATTATTAGCTGCCTGAGGATAGGTGGGTAGATGAGTATGAAGACACAGATAATTTAATTGTGTCATTTATTGTATACCAATTATAGATCAACATAACAGTAAAAGAAAGAAAAGAGACAAAAGGAAAAAGAAAGGAGTATAGGTGACAGGCAGCAAAGCATCATATAATGACGTGTTGGGATGCTATCTGTGTGTGAAGCCTGGAAGAGGGTAAGTGACTCTAGGGAGAATTGTATAGAAAAGTAGACTCTGTGCACGAGCAAACAGTGCAGATGAGAGAAGGGAACACTCAAGAGACACAACGTTAAAGAAAAAAAAGAAGGCAATTATAAAGGCCAGGAGGAAACTATCAACTAAAAATCCATTCATATATTCAAAGTCAGAAAACAAACTAAAATTAGGAGTGGTTTTTAAAGAGTTGATAGAAAATGTAAAAATGGAATCCATCTGGCTGTTACAACAGAACTCTACTCCAATGGTGATTCAAGAGTCACAATTTTAAACTGGGCGCCAGTGGCTCACGCCTGTAAGCCTAGCTACTCAGGAGTCTCAGATCTGAGGATTGCTGTTCAAAGCCAGTCCAGGCAGGAAAGTCTCTTATCTCCAATAAACCACTCAGAAAACCAGAAGTGGTGCTGTGGGTCAAGTGATAGAGCACTAGCCTTGAGCTGAAGAGCTGAGGGACAGCGCATAGGCTCAGACTTCAAGCCCCACGACCAACAAAAAAATTTAAAAAAGTAGTCACAATTTTGAATTGGGGGAGGGGAGAAGAGTTGCTGAGGATGCAACCCAGAGCTTTGGTTGCTTCCTGGCATGATATTAAACCTTCACACACAAAAACCTATAATCCAGGTCTCCAGTTGTCCTTCCAGAAAAATAATCACACAGGAAAAAAACAAAACAAAACAAATGCTACTTATTAGTCTTCAACTTTAGAAACAGCCAGTGAGAAGAACATGAAATTCTTAGCTACGGTTCCAGATTATGAGTTTCATTTCATCTGAAGAAACATTGAAATAGTTTAAAAACAGTGAAACAGGGCTGGGAAGGTGGCTCAGTGGTAGAGCACTTGTCTTGCATGCATGAAGCCCTGGGTTCGATTCCTCAGCACCACATAAGCAAAAAGAAAAAAGCCAGAAGTGGCGCTGTGGCTCAAGTGGTAGAGCGCTAGCTTTGAGCTGAAGAGCTGAGGGACAGCGCCCAGGCCCAAAGTTCAGGCCCCACGACCGGACCCCCCCGCCAAAAAAACAGTGAAACAAAGCTGGATGCCAGTGGTTAACACCTATAATCTCAGTGATTCAGAAGGCAGAGATCCAAAGGATTGAGATTTGAGGCCAGACTAGACAGAAAAGGGACTCCGTCTGTAATTAACCAACAAAAGACTGGCCTGGATCTGTGGCTCACTGGTATAGCACCAGCCTTGGGCAAGAAAACTGAGTGAGTGCAAGCCCTGAGTTCAAATCACAGTACCTGAAAAAAAAAGGCAAGTAATGGGTGCCTATGTGCATCATTTCAAGTCACTAAGGTCATTTGCTAAGAAGAATAAGATAATTTTAAAATTGGTACAAAGGAGTTTGGAAGGGGTATTGTGTTCTTGAGCCAATATTTACCTTGCATGGTAATGACTTAATAGGTGCAGTATGAGGTAGATCATCAAGAAATAGGGGGCAGGGCTAGGGACATGACTCGAGTGGTAGAGCACTTGCCTAGCAAGCATGAAACTTAACTTCAATACCCAGTATCAGCAAGAGAGGAGGAGGAAGAAATGGAAAAGAATGAGGAAGACAAGGAAGAGGAGGAAGAATGGAAGAATACGTATAGTAAGAATAATGTTTCTGGGCATTGGTGGTTCGTGCATATAATCCTAGCTACTCAGGAGGCTGAGATCTGAGGATCATGGTTTGAAGCCAGCCATGGCAGAAAAATCCATGTGAGACTCGTATCTCCAATTAACCACTCAAAAACCAGACATTGGGGCTGTGGCTCAAAGCAGTAGAGCAATAGCCTTTGGCAAAAGTGCTCAGTTACAGAGCCCAGTCTCTGAGTTCAAGCCCCACAACCAACGAAAAAAGAATAACATTTAGGGTTAAAGTCATGACCATCAGAGGCACGGAAACCGTGGGGGGGGGGGGGGGGGGGGGGGAAGGAGAAGGATTGGGGTTGGGGGGGAGTGGGGGGGGGGGGGAAGGAAGGGGGCAGAAAGGAGGAGAAACAGCCTCTGGGATATGGGGACAGCAAAGAGCTACAGGAGCCTCTGCTTGTCATCATAACCACGTGTGGCCTGGTGAGTCACTACCAGATACATGCAGTACTTTGAGGAAGACTAAAATTAAAATTGTCATGACCTCTTAACTCTAGCAGTGGCGGCCACCCAGGGGATCTGAGGTAGAGAAACTAGCGAAAACAATGTTATCACCATTTGCAGAAAAATCTGCATTTATTACACTTGGCCCAAGGCCATCCAGCTCCTCCTCATGCTTCAGTCAACCAGAGCAGAAGACACTCCTAAAGGCACCTAAGTAACTTGCCCTCCGTGGCTACCCCCATGGAGTATGGCCAGCTCATTCCCATGGCGCCGTCTCCTTAAATGTGCCTGCCTCACTGGCTCATTCCCACATCACTGTGGCCTTGCAGACACCCTCCAGGGGTTCCGTCCCCTCCCCACCCTCCTCCTCCACATCTGGACATTCAGCAGAGAGTCTCCTGTGAGTCTTTCCTCTAGACCTCATCTTGGCCCCAGACCCTGTATCCATAGTCACTTCAGCATTCCTGACTTACCAGCACGCCACTTCTGGGCCCTCCATACCTTGCATCTGGGAGTAGAATGTCTCCCCAGTTTGCTCATATTTAAATTGGGGGTGGGAACATTTGGCTTTTGGCATTTAGATCAGGTTTGCCTTACTAAGGTGGAGTTTGGGAGTGTTTGAGACAAGAGTACAAGATTTGTTGTACAAAGTCCAGAAAGGATATTATTTGAAGGTCCTCTATTTTAGTATTTTGATAAAATTGCTCTGCACCTCAATTAGTTCTTCAGAATATTAGTTTTTTTAAAAAAAAATTAAGATCTCCCTTCAAACCAGATACCACATCCTCATGGAGCCATCCTGAATTAAAACCATTACCACAATAATGTTAAATGTTGACATTTCCTGGTATACCAAATGTCATGGTTTTTGTCATCTCTTTTAGCATGGTTTCTAAGAGGCTATTTTTGTTTTCTGATCCAGAAGCTTATTTGCTTTCTTTTTAAACCTGCTTGCTGATTTAATAATCCCCTAATTCATTGTAAGTAGAAGCAAATACTAGAAGCCATTGCGAGCTGTGATTTCAGTTTCACTTGATTCCACTGAGAGTAAACCCAAATGGCATGTGAAGAGCTCTTAATCTGGAAAAGTGGCAATTCTGCATGATGAGGACATCGTAAACCATAGCCACTTGAAGAAGCTTTGGATCTCCTGCTTCTCCTTCTAGACAGTTTGACATGGAATCCCAGAGTGTTAGCACTCTCAGGAGCCATAGGGAACTCTAGCTGATGCCCGTCCTAGGCCTGCCATGGATGGGTAAACAGAAGCCTTTTCTCTTCTGCAGAATCCCAACCCAGGATTGTTTCCCATGAAGCACCCACTGACCTACTCAGAGACTTTAATAGATTACCATGTGTGCTCTCACCCCAAGTACAAGTTCATGCAGGAGTGCCACGAGGGGTCCAGCATTCCACTCACCCAGAAGCAGTTTCTCCATCACACGGTAAAGCACTGTCTCAGCTCACTGACAGAGGTGGTCTGGGATTCAGGGAGGCGATGGGGATGAACCTGGAGGACCACGGCTACATACCAAGCAGAGTGATGGCACCCCTACTAGGCTAGCCCTAAAAGAGCAGCAGGGAAAGCAGGACATCTGTGTCTCATGCCTAGCTACGCAGGAGGCTGAAATCTGAGGTTCATGGTTTGAAACTAGCCGGGACTGGAAAGTCCATGAGACTCTTATATTCAATGAACTCCCAAAAAGATGGAAGTGGAGCTGTGATTCTAGAAGAACAGTGCTAGCTTTGAGCCATAAATCTCAGGGAGAGTGCCCAGACCTGAAATCCAAGCCCTAGGACCTGCACATACACACAAAAAGCGGCAAGGAAAAAAAATGCCACCTTTGTCCCACACACACTAAAACCAACTCTGTCCCGTCCACCCAAACACAACCTTGTCCAGTCCACACCCACTTCTTGTTGGCTTTTGTCAATACTTTCTCTGTTGTCCCTGTAAAAGGAATTGTTCCCTCACTCCTACCTCAGCCACAAGATTCATATCCCTCCTTGTTCTGACCTCCTCTTACTTTGATCCCTACTAGTATAAAAATCCCAGTGTACACAGGGGGACGGTGGGACAAATGAACAGAAGTGGCTACAAAGAATTCCTTCCCCTATATGATCCACCTGACCTGAATATCTAGAGGCACCTCTTGAAAATCACCTCAAGACCCCTCAGTCTCAATAAATCTCTAAGTCTGATCATCTCTGCCTCACTCCCACCAGCTCTCCCCCACTGCCTCCGCCATGTGTTATCCACATGCATTGTACACAGAACTTGACTCCCTCCTTCTCCCGCTCCCCATAGCTAACCAGTCCACCTCCTTAGCTACAAGGGCCCTCCTCTAGTCTATCCCTGGGCTCACCACTGCTGCGATTGCCCTCCATAGGAATCTTCCATCAACACAAATCTGATCCTGTTGGTTCTGACTCCAAAGACCTCTGTGGGCTTTACTGCCAGTGGGAACAGCTCCAAGTTCACTAGCTTGGCCCACAAGGCCTTTGGTGACTTAGGACCAAGAACTGGAGAATCTTGATTTAAAAGGGAGCCACAGAGAGTGCTAGCCCAACCTAGATGTTTGAAAAGATATTAAATAACCTGAAAAGTCCAAGAGACTCCATCTCCAATAAACCAGGAAAAACAAAGGCTGGAGGCATTGTTCAAGTGGTAGAGTGCCAGCCAAGTACCAGAATACACACACACACACACACACACACACACACATACACACACACACACACACAAAATGCTGAATGACTGAAGTCCTTTCTCCTTCTCATGTGGCCCTATACTTATTGCTGTTACAGGACATTATCCCTGGAATCATGCACTGGAAGAAGTTCCAGCCCGTGGTGCTCTCCTCCATGCCAGACCCTTCTAAGATAGAGCCCACACAGAGGTAAGCCTTGCTATCTTCCTGTCTCCCAGGAGGTCATTAATCCCACAGATTACAGAAGTTACACCATAATGCTATGTCAAATTAAACTTTGCAAGTGTGAGTTAAGAGATGTTTGCAAGTCAGAGAGATGGGATACTGTACTCTTGATTTTCCTATTTTGAATTCATCTTAATCAAAAAATTGTCAAATGGATTTGTCTTTTTTTTTTGTCAGTTGTGGGGCTTGAACTCAGGTACTGTCCCTGAGTTCCTTTGCTCAAGGCTAGTGCTCTACCACTTTGAGACACAGCTCCACTTCCAGTTTTCTGGTGGTTAATTAGAGATAAGAGTCTCACAGGCTTTCCTGCCCAGGCTGGCTTTCAACTCAGATCTCAGCCTCCTGAGATTAGCTAGGATTACAAGTTTGAGCTACCAGCACCCAGCAAATTTGTCTTAAGCAAAGTTGTCTTATTACACTTTTGAAAAAGTGGTGTTGCAGTGGCTAATTGACAAGTAGCACTTCAGCGCAGGTAGACAACTAAACAGTAGAATTCAGCTGAAATATCTTGGTCTGTTTTTTAAATTGCCAAGATTAGCCTCCTGCACCCTCCACACTCAGTTCCAAAGAACCCACTTTCCTCTCCATTTATAGGGCCCCACCTACACATACACACACACACACACACACACACACACACACACACACACACACACACACACCCTCAGCTCTATACATAGCCTGGAGCTCAGCCTCATATACAGAACAGATAGGTGAAGATATTGTTGAACCACAAAGGAAGAATTTAGTCTAGATACAGTTTTGCTAATCCAGCTATTTAGTATCTTTTCAAAGCTCTAAGATAAGCAGCACCTACTTTGGAGCCCTTAAACTTCTGCTATCAGCCCATTGTCTTTATAAATGTAGCTATTTAGATACTGGTGCTTGAATGTGACTAGGGTCCCACAATGATTTGCAGCAACCATCACCCTCTCTTTCAGTGAGGACTCTTCACTGAGATGGTCAGAAAAGCTGAGCATTGCCACTGACTGAGATCAGCAGACCCCCCAACTCACACCAGTGAGCTTCAATCCTCTGGCTTGAACTCTGGGCCTGGGCATTGTCCCTGAGCTGCTTTTGCTCAAGGCTAGCACTCTACCATTTAAGCTACAGCACCACTTCTGGCCTTTTCTGTTTATGTGGTGCTGAGGAATGGAACCCAGGGCTTCATGCATGCAAGGCAAGCACTTTACCACTAAGCCACATTCCCAGTCCCTCGATTGTCTGGCTTAAAACCATCAAGAACTACTCCACACATGCAGGAGCTGTGGGGTCAGCCATGCCCCTCTACTACTCTTCTGAGACAGGGGATGAGGTTTGTTGTAAGGGCACTTCTCAGCCTTGATTTTTTTTTAATTTATACTAGGTGATGATCATTGTGATCGTTTGTCTCTTCTGAGACTCGGGCTGGGGTTTAACACCAGTGTGAGGTGGGAAGAACGTGGACATGTCATCTGACTAGGGTGTCTAGAGGTGAAGCCTCTGGGAATATTAAACAAAATCATCATGGTGAAGCCCATGATTAAATCCTGGTGGCCTTAGATTAATGTGAAAAAGCCCAGTGGCTACTCACTGTCTGTCCTTTGCTATATGATGACCTAAGCAACTGAAGAGCACTGACAGCAAGAAGGCTGTCACCAGATGCAGCTCTTCAACCTTGGACCAAAACAATGGGCCAAAGATCTTCTCTTTGTACATTACCCAGTTCATAGTACTGAGTTACATTAACTCAGCCACTCCATACTCACTGTCTGTCCTCCTATAGGTATGTAAGGTTTTTGGAATCTAGCCTGTGACCCTAAGACACTTGATTTGACTTTTTCCTTCATTGCCAACCAGAAAAGCTCCCCTTGATATAAGGTAGGTGCAGCTGAACTTCCAAAGTCTTCTTTCTTTGTGTCCCCTTTCGAGGTTACCCCTGGTGCTTCTCCGTTCTTCTCTATGCCTGGAGATAAAAAGCACCCAGCATGGGACTGCATTGTTCTCTCCCAGCTTCCCTGTCTTCTCAAACTCAGCATCCCTGTTCTTTATTTAAAATAAAGAATCTCCAAAATTGGGAGTAGACAGTAGAAGCGTAGAAAGCAAGAGCCTTGGCATCAGAAACCTGCCTCTGATATTGATGGCTGTGCCCCCCAGCTCTCTGCAATTGGGTGAGTTACTTTCTTCCTGGGGCTCCTTGAACAATCATTTCCTCACCTGTGACATGGGTGAGGCATCCTCACCAGACTGCTGTGAAGACTTAAATTAAATGCTCATGCAAAGCATCTAGTATCTTGCCTACTGGATGCATTGGTCACACTTTTCCACATTCAAAACCTTGCAATCACTCTGTTGCCACCAGATGGCGCCAGCACTGCCGCAAGAGACTCCTTTTAACTGGGAGCTGGGATGCTTCAAAACTGACCCATGCCAGTGTGTGCCTGCCACTTTTCATTCCATGGGAGACGATGGATCAGCAGGATAGTGGTTCCAGGCCATGCTTGGAAGACAAGTCCTTGAGACTTCATCTTAACAGAAGAAACTGGGCATGGTGATGTGCACTGTCATCCCAGCAATGACAGAAAGCCTATACTAGGTAGATCAGCTTGAAAAAGGAAGGAAGACCCTATCTCAAAAATAACTAGCACAAAAAAGGACTGGAATCATGGCTCAGTGGTGTCTTACAAGTATGGGGCTCTGGGTTCAAATGCATTACCACCAAAGAAAAAAAGAAACTTTAAGTGGCTGAGGGTATAGCGCAATGCTAGAGTACTTACTTAGCATGCTCAAGTCCCTGGGTCTGATGCCCAGAACCAAAACCAAAACACTTGACCCATGTTAATACTAAGCTGTGTCTGAATCTTTGGAGCCTGATGAGAGCTCATCTCCTGCCTCATACACAGTGCCCTCTTGCTGTGTTCTCACATAAAGGAGGATGAAGGCAGTCCTCTGGGGCTTCTCATCTGATGGCTCTAATCCAAGTGAGTGCTCCACCCCATAACCCAAATGCTCTCTAGACCTTCTACTCTAACTACAATCACAGCCACATTGGGGGTTGGATCTCAATGTATGACTTTTGGGAAGACACAAACATTCAGCCTATAGAAATCCCTACACATCCATTAGTGATTTTTCAATCTATGGCCATTTTGCTTAAATCTCCTATTACTTATGAGATTTCTCTTGTACCCTGAGATTTATCTGCATATTATTAAACCATGCAATATGATTGCTTAGCATTTATATACTCCAAGTTATTTTTGGATTTATTTTATTTATGTTCATGAGAATCATCAAAGAGTTTACTGGTTTCTTTACTCATTAGTAAATCAAAGAGATTTTGTTGAGTCTGCAGACTTCCATAAAATCTAAAATTGAGCAGCACCCAAAGAAATAGTAGCAGCAGCTGGGAAGGTAGTTCAGTGATAGAGTGCTTGTCTTGCGTGCCTGAGGCCCTAGGTTTGATTCCTCAGTACCACATAAGCAGAAAAAGCCTCAAGTGGTACTGTGGCTCCGGTGTTACAGCGCTAGCCTTGAGCTGAAGAGCTGATGGACAGTCCAGGCCCAGAGTTCAGGCCCCAAGACCAACCAAAAAAAAAAAGCAGAAATGGTAGTAGCTCATACTTGTAATCCTAACTACTCAGGAGGCTAAGATGTTTGGATTGTGGTTCTCAGCCAGCCCTGGCAGAAAAGTCTGTGAGACTCTTATCTCTAGTTACCTACCAAAAAGCTGGAAGTAAAGCTATGGTTCAAATGATAGAAAAAAGGCCCTGATTCCAAACCCCAGTACTAGCACAATGAAAGAAAGAAAGAAGGAAAGAAAAAAAGAAAGAAAGAAAAGAAAGAAAGGAAGGAAGGAAAGAAGGAAGGAAGAAAGGAAGAAGGAAAGAAAGAAAGAAAGATAGAAGGGAGGGAAAGAAGAAGGAGGGAGGGAGGAAGGAAGGAGGGAAGGAGAGAGGAAGGAGGGAGGGAGGGAGACAATTACTTAAAGACAGTGGTTTCTAGGCTTTCAGAAACAATTTGAGAACTAATTTAGGGTTATCAGTTTTACTTCGTCAAGTAAGGATATTAATTTAAAACCATCTACCAGGGCTGGGACGGTGGCTCAGTGGTAGAGTGCTTGCCTTGTATGCATGAGGCCCTGGGTTCGATTCCTCAGCACCGGAAAAAAAGCCGGAAGTGGCGCTGTGGCTCAAGTGGTAGAGTGCTAGCCTTGAGCTGAAGAGCTGAGGGACAGCGCCCAGGCCAAGAGTTCAGGCCCCACGACCGGACCCAAAAAAAAAAATCATCTACCACCATAAAATTGAAAACAATGTATTTACACCAGGAAATAACTTAAGAGCAACATGGTTTGAGAATGTATAATTAATTCATTATGCTTCATGAAACCTCTTGGTTGTTGCTGTTCCATTGTTCTAGATCAGGTCTCTGGAGAATGGCCCAGGCCCTGTTCTCTCTCTTTTCTGCTATCCCTTCAACTATATGTTCTACAGTTTTTGTGGGATCTTCGATTAGAACCTGAGTTCTTTATGGTGAAATCAGTAAATAGGGCTGACCTCTGAGTGGTGGGGTCCAGTATCCAGGGGAATGGTGTGTCCTGGTGTGCATATCACCACTGGGGTGCCTTTGTATCTTGATCTCTTCTATATACAAAGCCAGGTTACAAATACACATTTAACAGACACACAAGGACACATATACACACGTGTACATACATGTGCATATGATCACACATAGGTGCATATTTTAGAAATCATAAGTCTACACCAATTCCTGTCCGCATTCAATGAAGTGGGGCTGACTTTCCACCTCTCCATGTCTTCATCTCCTCTCTTCAGCACTGCAAAAGTCCTGGCTGTAACACACTTGTTTCCTAATATTATAACCCATTAAAATAGCCTCAGAATGGTCTCGTGCATAATCAGTTTAATAATGAGACAAAATAAATAGAGTTCAGATTTATTTATAATTCTCCCCCTACCCTCACTCCACTCTGATACCATATTGTAAGTCACTTGGGTCATCTCTCTGTCTCTCTCTAGCTATATTTCTGTCTCTCTTTTCCTTTCTTTCCCCCTGTTGTGATTATGAAATTATTTGTTTCCATTTGCTTGCTTGCTTTTACTTTTGTGTGCCAGTTCAAGGGCTTGAACTCAGGCCCTAGATGCTGTCCCTGAGTTTTTTTGGGTTTTTTTTCTGCAAAGTTAGCACTCTGTCACTTCAGTAGTTGACTGGAGGCAAGAGTTTCATGGATTTTCTTGTCCAGACTGGCTTTGAACCACAATCCTCAGATCTCAGCTGCTTGAGTAGCTAAGATTACAGGCATGAGCCAAATAGTGTTTGGCTCCATTTGCTCTTGATTCATTTCTCTTTCTTACTGATTTAATTTTATCTTTTCAATAAATAGAACACCAACTTGTTTTCCAAAGTAAGAGCTTCACAGAGACATACTCAGGGAAGCGCCCCTCCCTTCCACTCCTTCCTGAGGATGGGCTCCATTTAGTCTTCCAACTACCCTTCCTATGTTTCTCTCTGTACACTTATTGTCCCTTCTTTCTTATATAAAAAGTGCCACTCTAAATATGTTCTTCTGCATTTGCTTTTTTCGCAGAATAGTATCTCTAGAAATCTGCGCATGTTAATTCAGAGACACCTTCCTCATTCTATTCCATCCTTCAAAACCATGATATCGCAGATTGTTTTTCTTTCTAACCATCTGCACACTTGCTTGACACAGGAACAAATAAAATCACCAGTCTTTGTGTGTGTGTGTGTGTGTGTGTGTGTGTGTGTGTGTGTGTGTGTGTGTGTGTGTGTGTTTATATTAGGGCTTGAACTCAGGCCCTCTCATACTTGCTTAGTTTTTTCACTTAAGGCTGGTATTCAACAACTTGTGCCACAGCTCTATTATCCAGTTTTTTGGTATAATAGTTAGCTGCAGATAAGTGTCTCATGACCTTCCTGTCCTGGCTAGCTTCAAATCTTGATCCTCAAATCTCAGCCTCCTGAGTAACTAGGATTACAGGCATGAGCCACCCGTGATGAGATACAAGTTCTGTCTTCCTCAGAGGCTTGCCTGCACACAAGAGAGTCCTCAGTGGCTCCATTATCCATTCCTGCCCCTGCCTTACCTTCAGCAGGCAGCCTTCGCCACATATAGGAGGATGACATTTTCCTACTGGTTGTACACAGGTATCAATGTTCATTTGCTGTGCTAGAAATACCTCCCACAAAATTGTTGAAAACTCGTATCCACTGATACCCTTTCTCTATGCTGTTATTTGTTCAGTTTTTATTTCTTTAGTATCATTTTAAAAGTTTATAAGAAAGAAGCTGAGATCCAAACCAACAAGTGCCCATTCTACCATCTAGAAACAGAGCCTGCTACCAACTTTTAGTATTACAATAGATTGTGTGTATGTGTGTGCATATGTGTGCATGTGTGTGTGTGTGCGCGTGCGCGTGCATGTGCATGCCAATCCTGGAGCTTGAACTTGGGGCCTGTGCACTGTCTCTGAGCATTTTGCCCAAGGCTAGCATTCTAACCACTTGAGCCACAGCTGCATTTTCAGCTTTTTTAGTACTTAATTAGAGATAAAGTCTCATAGACTTCCTGCTCCAGCTGACTTCAAAGCAGGATCCTCAGATCTCAGCCTCTTAAATAGCTAGGATTACAGGCATGAGCCACTGGCACCAGGCAGGATGTTTAATTTTATATTTTATTTTATTTTTGTTGGTGCTGGAAATAAAACCTTTCAAGTCTCTTGTTCTCCCTCTCTCTCTCTTTCACACACACACACACACACACACACACACACACACACACACACACCAGATCCTCTTTTGATTCTGTTTTCACACTCCAGAAAACATCTTATTTGGAAGCATTCTCCAAATCCAAAAAAAAAAAAAAGATCAAATCCATCTAAGTTTTCTAGCTTAACCAATGTAGCATAAAGTTTTAGACATACCAATTTGTGTTTGTTCATTTTCTGTTACTATAACAAAATACCCAAGACAGACTAACTTTATAAAGGGGATGCAGGGGTCTGCTGGGGCCTCCTGTGCTCCCTGCATTTGCTTTTTCCAGAAACATGGCTAGGCATTTGCAGGGAAGGAGGCAGAGAAGTAGAGGCCTCCCCGTGATAATGCTGAAGGACTGTAGACAGTCACACCAAGGCTGCTATGACTGGCGGTGTGCTCATTTTTCCTTGACTACTTGTGTGATTTTTTTTTCTCCCTGCAGCTATGATTCTTACAACTCAGCTCTGCTTCCCATTGATGTCCCCACCCCTCTGGAAGCCTTACCAGAAGAAGACAGACTGGAAACAGCTGAACGGTATTTCATTTTATTCTCTGCCTTTAATCTCTAATGTGGTCTGTTTGCCAAAAATATACTCCTTGTTGGGAGGGAGTTCAGAACAGTTCAAAGGACCTGAGTTTGCAACCCAAGTAGGTAAAGCTAATGCCCAGCAGTGCCATTCTGAGGAGGTACTCAGCTAGTATTTGGCTCCAAAAATCTAAAGCCTGCTGATAACTATGTACTCAGGGAGTTCAAGGGAAGGGAGAACAGAGGGAAGCTGATGGGCAGGCGAAGTCATGTGGACTTGAGTTGGTCTGTGAAAGATGTAAGGATCTGGACAGTCAAGAACTCATAAGGCCAGAAACAAAAGGCTTGGGCTTCATATTACTTCTTGGCAGCCAATAGCCAGTGAGCAGACATCTTTGAATCTCCTGCCACCACGCCCATTTAATCTAATACTAGAGACCCAAAATGGGCAATGTGAGTCAGGCAAAGAATATGCCCTGGTCTCAGGGCAGCTTCTCCACCAGGAGCTCCCAGGCCATTGCCCTATTTGCAGATGCAGATACCATTGCTTTCTCCTTTCTAAAAATATGCTTAGCTCTTTATTATATCACTACATAATTTCCAGAAGAAAATAACAAGTTCAATATTTTTCAGCAGATTCTATTAGGCAAAAGCAAAATCAAACTAAAATTTCTAGCATAATTAAGCAACATAACAAAGTTTTAGACATAACAGTTTGTATTTGTTTGTTTTCTGTTACTGTAACAAAACAGATAGGCAAGACAAGCTAACTTTATTTAAAAGAGAGGGAGAAAGAAAGAGAGAGAACATTTCTTAGCTCACAGTTCTGGAGGCCAAAGGGCATGATGCCACAGTCAGCTCAGCCGTGGGGAGGACCAGCCTCATGACAGATGGCACCACAGTGGTAGAAGCATATGCCAGACAAGAAAACAGGTTTGCACTTACAACAACTTGCTCTCACAAAAACTAACTCAGGGTCCTCAAAGAACTACCTTAATCCCTTCTAAGGGAAGCACCTTCAAAAACCTAATGACCTACCTAATGACATCTTACCTGGCCAAATGGGGACCAACGCTCTAACACATGAACCATCTCTGGGACAAATCACATCCAAATTATTGTATCATCATAGAGTGTTCAAGATGTTGCATACCATAGTGACAAAAGATTATAATTTGTAAATTCAAACTTCCCACCCCACCACTCACTCTCCACATCTTGGGCAAGTGACCACCTCCCTTTGCCTTGATGACTTCATCTTTAAAATGGAATAACTCCAGAAAGTGTCCCATGGGTGGCTAGGAAATATGATGCATGTAAGGCCCCGAAGTTTATTGTCTTTTTTTCCCCTTGGTTCTGTAACTGAAGATCCACTCTTTACTTTTGTCCTATAGGGAGGGGACACTTTGAGTCTCAACTGTAACTCAGAGTAAGTTCCCGAAGCCTTTTCAGAGTTCAAGTTTGGGGGACAGGGATAAAAGAGACAGAAATGAGAAGACTCCTAATCTAGTAACAAGGCCCTGGAAAGTATGATAAAAGGAAGGATAAGAAGCTGAAAACACTCAGCCAGCTTCAGCTAGTTTCTACATGACTGGAGCAGAGTGTTGAAGAGTCTAGATTCTGATCCCCAAGTGCCCAGTTCTATGTCTGCCTGATTGTTCCTGTATTTGCTTCTGGTTCCTTTGCTAGTGACAGTTACATGATGTTATAATTTGGAGCTAGTGTGCCCCCACTAAGGTCATAGGTTAAATGCCTAGTCCTCAGCTGGGCACTACCAGGAGCTGGTATGAGCTTTAAGGGATGGAACCTAGTGTGAGGAAGTTAGGTTATTGGCAGTGTGATCCTTGAAGGGCATTTTTGCATCCTGGTGTTCTCTCATTCTCTCATTTTCTCTCTCACACTCTTCATTCTCTCTCTCTCTCTCTCTCTCTCTCTCTCTCTCTCTCTCTCTCTGCCTTCCTCCCTCATTTGAAGCTGGCCATGAAGTGAATAGGAGCTCTTGGAGCTCTTGTCATGATCTAGTGGGCTACCACAAGCCCAGAGTAAGAAGGCAAGTGGCCATGGACTGAAACCTGAGAAACCATGGGCCCAAATAAAACTTTCTCCTTTTAAGTCTATTGTCCCAGGCATTTTGTCACAGTGACAGAAAGTTGGCTGAAATATATGGGATTGTTTAGGCTTGACATGAGAAAGGGGAAGTATTCTGAAGTATAACAAAGATAGAAGGGTTCGTTTTTCTTTGAGATTTAAGGTTCCTAAATAAATTTGTTCCTGGTCTCTGGATAAATATGCACATTTCACCAATGAAGTTCTCATTATTTAACTCCTGTCACTTTTCAAAGTGTTGTAAACACTCACTTATCAAGATATTCTTGTGCTTCTCAGGCATCTAGAAAGATTCTTTTTTTTTTTTTTCTGGTCGTGGGTCCTGTCCCTCAGCTCTTCAGCTCAAGGCTAGTGCTCTACCTCTTGAGCCACAGCATCACTTCCGGCTTTTTTCTTTTTGCTTATGTGGTGCTGAGGAGTGGAACCCAGGGCCTCAGGCATGCAAGGCAAGCGCTCTACCACTGAGCTACCTTCCCAGCCCCACTAGAAAGATTCTTAAGTGTGGCTCAGTGAGACAAGTCAGGCTAAGCCAATGTATTACTCACAGATGTCAGCAAGGATAAAAGAGAGCTGAGGATTCAGACAGAGTGAGCTGGTCCCTCAAGGCAGAAAGCTGCCGGGGGGGGGGGGGTCACATCTGCATGAATCTCACAAGCACTGCAGCCGAGGGAGCTGGTAGTGCTCCTACCCCTGAGTGGCTCGGGGATCACTGAGCCTGAGCATTGCAGAATATACTGTGTTGGGAGGAGCGGCCACAGCCTAGTTGTTCTGGACTTTCTCTCCTTTCCTGGGGATGTGGCAATGTCAGCCATTCTGCCCAAGAATTACAAGCAATGATGTAGATATTATCCAGAATGATCATCCCAAACACTGAATTTTTTTAAAAAAAAGATTAAATCTCTGAAGCCTGCAAAAAATAATAAATTGAAATCCTAAAAGATTAAAATTGAAGTTATTAATGTCCTCAAAGACACAGTTCCATGAAAACCGAAAGATGGGGTAAGGGAAAAAGCCAAATTCAGGAGATAGGACTGGTTATGTAGAATAACTATAACAAAAACATCAGGGGCATTTCACCTGACAATATTCAAGGTGCTTATCATGAATTAAAGTCTCAATGACCTGAAGAATGCATTGATGTTACTGACGAGTTTGAAAACAGCTCTGTGGTGATAGAAGAAGCAACTAACAACAACAGAGTTGCTGTTCAATCACTGCTGTTCTTTCCAGCAGGTCAGTGGTCTGTAGGTAAGTGTATGGGGACTGGCTTTTAATGGTCCTGAAATAATAGAGAAGCATGCACAGAAGGCAGGAAAATATCATAGAGAATGCTTGTGTCAGTATATAAGGAAACACAGAAGAACTTCTAAAAGAGTAGCACATAGGAAATGAATGTGAAAACATTCTCTGAAGAAAGGCATGCCCTGGAAGAAAAATCATAGTTATTCATTGCCAGCCAAGATTTCAAAGTACAGTTAATGATTATGAAAGTTAACCAGCTCAAACAGCACCTCTGCTATTTTTCTCGTAATCTATCCATATACTGTATCTTTGTAGGTGTGCAATTTTCCTTGCCGATTTTTTTGAGGGAGGTGCATTTCCTTAAGAAGGGTTCTTTTTTTCTCTCCTCTTTTGAGTTTTATTTTCATTATTTTAAATTGTTAGTATTTTTTCCACAACTGGCTAGCCTGTGTGATTTATATTCACTTTTTTTTTCGGTTGTGGGATTTGAACTCAGGGCCTGGGTACTGCCCCTGAGCTCTTTTGCTCAAGGCTAATGCTCTACCACTTTGAGCCACAGCACCACTTCTGGTATTCTGGTGGTTAATTGGAGATAAGAGTCTCACAGAGGGGCTGGGAAGGTGGCTCAGTGGTAGAGCGCTTGCCTTGCATGCATGAGGCCCTGGGTTCAATTCCTCAGCACCACATAAACAAAAAGAAAAAAGCCGGAAGTGGCGCTGTGGCTCAAGTGGTAGAGCACTAGCCTTGAGTTGAAGAGCTGAGGAGACAGC